TCTACAGTGAAAAGAAGGACTGGGTTATTTACTTTGGCCTTTTTGGAAACACAGGAAGGAGCAATCAGCTAAGTGAGCTTAGTGGTTGGAAAAAATCTTTCATTCCTTTTCAGACAGCATGAAAAGTCAGCTGAGTACAAAACATAGAGAGGAAAACAACAAGAAGAGGGGGACACAACCTAGAACAGATAATGGATGTCTATTCTATTAACATTTCTCTATCTGTATAATGGGTCTGTTTTATGTGTTTTCTTCTCAATTCAGAGGGCCACCTGCCTGTCTTTGCCTAGGGCCCCAGATTTTCTAAATGTGCCCCTGCAGACAGCTGGGGGAACAGGAGCCTGTATCTCCAATTGATGAAGATGCATCTGCTCTGATAATGAGAAGCTGGGATGTGGAAGTGGTGCTGATGCAGAGAGGACACTGGAAGTCTGGGGATTAAATAGCCTTTCTAAGCTGTTTAGAGGTAAAATGATAAAGTCACCGCGGGTTCTAACTGCATGAATGATCTCTCTGGTGTAAAACTATCATCCCGTATGTCTGATGATGTGTGCCTGTAGTCTGAACTCAGGGAGGGAACCTCTGACCGGCCCAGCTGCTTTAAACTGAAAGGAGGGGGGAACTGAAATCAGCTGATTCCTCATCTGGTTCCTTACATGTCTGTCCCGTTCCAGGTTATCCCGCTGTTTAAACAGCCTTTAGCTGCCTTCCTCCACACAGCGTCCCGGTTTACAAAAACATTCAGACTTTTACAAACTTGACTCAGGCGGCTGAGGGATCTGTGATCCAGATGAGACAGGATGTGGAAGAGCACATCGTCAGGGAGCTGGGTGAACATCATGGCTGCCGGGACATGTTCCACAGAGAAACAGGAAGAGGTTTCCGGGACTGCGCGGTGACGTCATGGCGCAAGGGGGCGGGTCAGGGAGGATTTTTATTTTTATTTTTTTATTATAGCCATTATATACAACAGACAATGTTACGGGAGAGGATTAGGCCCACTGGAAAAAAAGAAAAAAGAAAAAAGTTAACTTATTTTAAATCAGGTGGCCTCCTCCCTCCACTGGAAAAAGAAAGCCGTCGTTGCTATGGCAACGCAGTGACGCCACCACGAGCGTTGCTGTAGTTCTGAAACCCAGGTTGACATTAAATCAAACATTTGCCCCTCTCTTATATTTACATTTTAACAGCCAAATCTAACTATTTCATAGAGGACATTCATTTTTTTGTCAGTGTGATGCAGATGCAGAACATCCTTTAATAGTAGCTCCCATGCATTAGGAAATAATGCAGAATGATGAGGAAAGCTAGAGTTACGTCCCTGCATGGATTTTTTTCATCAACAGACTAGAAGCTTTCTATTAATGCTTTCGTTGAGACATGTGGCCGGGTGTAGCATCCACACAACCATGACGATTGAGCCGGCTGAGTAG